CTATTTCTATTTTTATTTATTAATTTTGTTTACTTATTTTTTATATTCTTAATTCTTTTTTATTTTTTTCCCTTTTCAATATTTTCTTCTTGAATTGAAAATATTTCTTTAATAATGAATATATAAATTTTTTCATTTCTTTATTCCATTTCTATTTTTGTTTATTTTATTTATTTATTTCTTATACTTTTGCTGCTATTTTTTTCCTACTCATTTTCTTAATTTACTTCTCGAAATCAAAATATTTTTCTAAATGAATAAATATCAATGTTTTAATTTATTTACTAATATTATTTACTTATTTTCTATATTTTTACTTCTCTTACTATTTTTTTCCCTTTTCAATATTTTCTCAATATTTTCTTCTTGAACAGAAAATATTTTTCTGATAATGAATACATTAATTTTTTTTTACTTTTTTCTATTTCTATTTTTATTCATATCATTATTTTATTTTTCAATTTTGTTTACTTATTTTTTATATTCCTACTTTTTTATTTTTTTTTCTTCTCAATATTTTCTTCTTGAACTGAAAATATTTTTCTAATAATGATTATATAAATTTTTTTCTTTCTTTCTTCAATTATTTTTTTCTTTTGTTTATTAATTTTACTTGTTTATATTTTATATTTTTACTTCTTTTATTTTTGCCAATATTCTTTTTTTTATCAATATTTCCTAAATATTTCCTTCTTGAACTGAAAAGATTTTTCTAATAATGATGATATAAATTTTTTTCTTTCTTTTTTCAATTATTTTTTATTTTATTTATTAATTTTATTTGTTTGTATTATATAATTATTTTTACTTTTTTTATTTTTTCCTCTTCTCAATATTTTCTTCGTGAACTGGGAATAAATATTTTTCCAATAATGAATATATATAAATTTTTTTTATTTCTACAAAAAGAAATTTTCTTCATTTGAGCTTTAAAATAGTTTTAATTTTTTATATAATTAATTGTATTAAAAATTTCACTTTGTGGAAAAATATTTTCTTTTTTATCTATATACGAATGAGTATTCTAGTCAATTTTTTTTTATAGAATGGAAGTTGTTGGTTTTACAACTACATAAAGCAGCTGTATTTAAAATGTCAAACAAGGTTTATAAAACCTTTGCTGAGATTTTATTGGTCACGACTTGAATACACTTTTACTGTAATGTTGTAATAAAACACACCTGAAATTGTTCGAAATTTGTAGCTTTTCCTCGCTGAATGTTTGTTCCAGATGTTTATGTAACAATCGTTATAAAATAAAATGATAATTTTAACAAACGTTTTTGAATTTAATGCCTATTTTCATTAGTATGTCGAAAAATGTAAATATAAAAATACAATAAATGTGTATTAATTATTTATATATAATTAATTAATTTTTGGATAAAATTAAAGTAATGTATTTATTTATTTTTCTATTTATTTTTATAAATAAAAAAATAATTAAAAAAAAAGAATGTAATAAAAATAAATATGTAAAAATTTAATAAAATATTTAAAATTATTAATTTAACGTAATTAATAATAATTTTAATTCTTTCATATTATTATTACTTCTTTCAAGAAAAGAATAATTTATTTTTTACGTAACTTATTAACATTTGTTATTCTTATATTAGTTGGATGATAAAAAATGAATGTAAATTGAGAATCGAAAGTTATTTTTTCAAAAAGTACGATTCTCAATTTTTCTTTTGTGATAAGTACACGGAAAAGTTCTTGGGCGAGTCGCTGTACCTGTTGTGGTGGCGCTGAGTGACCAGTACCTATGGTAAAGTGACAGCCCCATTTTGGTAGCTCATTTCACCCACAGAGACTGCTGCTTTCCTACTGTGGGGCGTCAGAGCTCTCTTGTGGGGCATCAGAGCTCTCTTTAGAGAGAAAGCAGAAAACCTTTTCTGTGGGAGGCGAGTGAGAGACGTCTGCTCGCCCAAAAACTTTTCCGTGTAGAATAAGATTTTCCTTTCCTCAATGTTATTATCCTTTCAATATATGTCCATTCACTCAACTCATCATCATCTCTCGATTTTCCGTCTTTATATTACCTACCTCAATATATATTTTTCTCGCAGAATATTTTTCTAAGGAAAAGTCACGTCTAAACATAGTTAATATTTTTCTCTCATTTTTTGACATTTCATCGTGGAAATAGAGGTGTTATTATTTTTATTTTCCAAAAAACTGTCTATGTCGATGTTCATAAAGATAGATTTTATAACGTGCTTTTTCAAAAAATGATGTAATAGAACACTTTTCTGCGCTCTCAGATATATAATATAAAAAGAAGATCGCAAAATATGAATCCCCGAGAAAAATAGAATTTCTTTTCAAAAAGTTGTGAAACTCTGCCTACAAAATGTGATTCACGCTAAAAGTGATTGAAAAAATTTTTTTCTTAACTATTATTCGTAAAGAAAAAAAGTTACAATATTTCTATGGAGAATACTTAATTGTCTATTTTCAAACTTTAATAATAAAACTAAGTTTATAAATAATAGCACAATTTTTTTTTCAAAAATAACTCTCTTAGGAAAAGAATTACAAACAGAAGATTCAGAATATTTTTTCACAATTCTTTCATTCACTTTAAAAAATTCACAAAATTGAGAGAAATTTTCTATCAGAGAAGAGGCGCACAAAAAAAAAGAAATAAAAATAAAAATACAAACTTCACCTCGAGAATTGAAGGTGAGCGAAATTTTTGAAATCCATTCCCTTCCATTATTTGAAAATATGCCGCCAATTTGCGTTCTTTGTGGTGGCAAATAATAGGTATCATGGAGCAATAAAAGCATAGAGATATACGCGAATAAAGTCAAAGAGTATTTGAAGCGATAACCAACTAGGTTAACTGAGATTTGAGACTCGAAATCAGCGCGCTTTTAGATCTTTGTCGCAAAAATTGCCGATAAAAATAAAATAAAATTTTCCCACCAATCACTTTTTTTTTACAATCAAACAAGAGGGGAGAAAAAAAGGTCTCGTCAAATATTTTTTCACACGTACCCATAAACACTAATTGCTAAATTACTCTCGAAATGCCTAAATATTTTTCAACTTTACACAATTTTTTTTTTGATAAATTAAAATTAATTAAATTAAAATAAAAACTACTTATTATTTATTTTTATTATTACTATTATTATTATTACAATTATTATTGTTATTATCTATAAGAATCGTCGTATTCTTAAAGTTAATTTGTAATTTTTTTTAATTATTCTTTATTTTATTTCTCAAAATATTCGAATTTTACCATTTCTTCTGAATATTTCTGGTTTAGATATAAATTACATTTACAGACCTCGAAATGAATTTAAAAATAAAAATTGTTATCGAAAGTGTTATCATAAAAAAGTGCTGTTTGCAAGTCCCCTAAAGTAACCTCCCCTCTTAAGTCGCAATAATCTATTTAATTTTATTTATTTAATTTTATTTATTTCATTAAATAATTTACGAAAAAAGAATAATAAATTTCGAAAAATAAATGTTTGAAGAAAAATCACTAAGTAATTTTAAACAATAATGCAACTTAAAAAAAAAATTTCCGAAAAGTGTTTTTTCTCCACTTTTCGTGATAATAAAGAACTGTTTAAAAATTATAGAGAAATAAAAATAACTTTTTATGAAAAAGACAAAAAAAAACTGGAACTATATACAGAATATGAGTTGGTGGAGGTCGTGAAGATAGGAAAATTGCGCGAGTCGAGGGATGCTGCGATAGAGGGGCTGTTAGAAACGACGCCCTCGCGGCAAAACCTGTTCAGTAAATGCGCGCAGCTACATTAGAGTGGACCTTGTAGCGAGCGGACCTTTAAAAAAAAAACGTTACGAAAATTCAATTTCGTTTCAAGTCCATTAAGAAATAATAATAAAAAAAAATTTTATCTACAAAATAAAAAAATGACAATTTGCTTTCGACAATTATAATCATATGCACGATAATTTAATACACATAATTATATGAAAAGTATATAAATTATAAAATTACATTAAGTACAAAAGTATTTAAAATATAAAATAAAGTATAAAATAATGAAATGAAAAGAGTATAAAATATAAATGTTTAAAATATAATATATAAAAGTATATAATGTAAAAGTATAAAATATAAAAGAATATAAAATAAAAAAGTATAAAACAAAAAAGAATAAAATACAAAAGTAAAAAAGATAAAAGAATATAAAACAAAAAAGTATAAAATATAAATGTATAAAATATAAAAGTATAAAATGTAAAAGTATATGAAATAAAAAGTATATAAAATGTAAAGGTATAAAATATAAAAGTATATGAAATATAAAAATATATGAAATATAAAAGTATTCGAAAAAAATAGTACATAAATATTAAAAAAACAATGAAGTACAAACAAAATAAATATGTACATGAAAAATAAAAGTCCTAATTGAAAATAATATTTACGAAACAGTATTAACAGTGTAAAAAATTAACACTATATTCTTACAACAAAATATTGAGAAAAACGAAAAGATTAACAATATATTAAATTAATATTAACAAACAATACTAATTTATTTATTTATAATTTTAATAAAATACTAAGAAAATAATAATAAAAAAATAATAAAATAATAATAAACAAATAATAAAATAATAATAAACAAATAATAAAATAATAATAATAAATAAATAGAAATAAAAAAATAATAAAAATCTAATTATGATTGAAAAAAATTGGATAAAATATTGATAATATAAATTGCAAAAAAATAAAATTAAAAGAAGAATACACAAACTATTTTATGAAAAGTAAACAATGAATCATCAAGTGAATAAAAACGATTACTTACTAATTAGAAAAAAAGTAACGAACACTTATTTTATAAAGAAAAAAAGTAATATTTCTTAAAAAGATTCCAAAACTGATTAAACAAATTTTCTAATTTAAATTCTAATTTAAAAGAGGACTTACTATTTTCGTGTAAAAAAAAAGTTTTTACCAATTTTCTTTAACTACATTATTAGGAATAATTTTTTCATAAAGAAATTAAAAAAAATCGTTCAATTCGCGGGGAAAAGTAAGAAAAAAAAACGAGAGTGAACGAGAGAGAAAGAGAAAGAAAGAGAAAATTTAAATTCCTTTTTTGTGCAACTAAATTGAGAGGCTGTATGTGAGGTGTGTACCAAAGCTGTATATGGGCGTTGAGAAAACGTGTTACCACACATAATGCCTGCATATGGAAGTGATTGTAGCTTGTAATGTAAGTAATGTTGTTCTACAAACTTACTTTAGTTATTACATTAAAAGCATAGGAAGTCATTTGCCACCTTCACAACATGAGCGTTATTTCATTTTAAAGTAACGACACACACACATACACACAAAAAAAAATAAAACGAAAAAAAAAATGAAAGTAAACGAGAAAAATTTTACTTTCTTTTGCCGCGCAAAAATATCTTGGGTAATTTTTTATCGTAAGCTTGTATAAAAGAGCGACTGAATTATTAAGTTAAGGAAAAAAAAATTTCCCCTTCGCTTCATATACAACATTCTTGCATTAACTCGAGCAATTTTTTCATCGAAAACTATTTTTTGAAAAAATCCTTTACCCAACCACTTTTTTATTATCGGAAAATTTAGAAAACTTTTAATTAATTTTTACATTCGAATCAAACCTTTTTTTTTATTAAGTAATTTTTATCGTTCTTTACTCTTAATAATTATCTTCTTCTTATGGTAAAAATTTTCTTCTAATTAAAAAAATTAAATGTAAAAAAAAGTAAATGCAAAGTAAATAGAAAAAAATATTCAAATAGAAAAAATAAGCAAATTAAAAAAAGCAAATAGAAAAAATAATCAGGGAAAAGAAGTAAACTGAAAAAAAGTAAATAGCAAAAATAAACAAATAGAAAAAATATTCAAATAGAAAAAATAAGCAAATTAAAAAAAGCAATTAGAAAAAAGCAAACAAAAACAAGCAAATAGAAAAATAAACAATTAGAAAAAAAGCAAATTAAAAAAAGGAAATAGAAAAAATAAGCAAACAGAAAATAAACAAATAGAAATAATATTTTTTGAATAGTGAAAACATTTAAATAGAAAAAATAAGCAAAGAGAAAAAAATTATAATTCAAAACATGCGAATCTAAAGCCGAAGAACAATTATCGTAAAAATTAATCATCCAAGTAAATAATTCCTCAATAAAAAAATTTTTTTTTCCCTCTTCAAATTCCCCTAAAAAGGATGAAATCGATATAACAAAAGGAAATTTTAATTTTCGATTAAAATTGAAATACACTGTACGATACGTATTTAACGTTTTTTTTCTATATATATATAAAAAGAAATAACTACCCTGACCATTCTTGCGAACAATTGAAAAATCTGTGAAGGAAAAATTGGAAATTTAATGAGGCGTAAGGGAGAAAAAATCACAAAACAAAGCAATTCTATTGTTGTGTTTTGTGTTTTTCTAAAGCAAAACAATTCGAAGCAAGAGACTCATTAGTGTTAAGTTTTAATGAATTCAGTTGCTTCTGCTGGTTTGCGGTTAAGAAAGTTGAAAATTACAGTTATAGGGGTAACGTACACATGCACACTAAAAAATAATAATAATAATAAAGAAAAAAGAGCGACCCTCATTAGGAACAATGTACTTTTCAGCAATTGTCATCAGCAAAAAGTTGGAGTTACAAGTTTTTTGAAAGTTTAAATATAACTAAATAAATATGTAACTATATATGACTGCATGTCACTTTATATAACTATATATGACTATATATAACCATTTATAACTATATATAACTATATGTAACTATATATAACTATATACATATAACTATATGTAACTATATATAACTATAAATTACTATATAGAACTATATATGACTATATATAACAATATAAAACTATATATAACTATATATGACTAATATATATGACTATATATAACAATATATAACAATATATAACTAAATGTAACTATATAGAACTATAAAGAACTTTACATAAATATATATAACTATAAATTACTATATATGACTGTATATAACTTTATAACTATAAATAACTACATATGACTATGAATAACTGCATATAACTGTATATTATATCTATACACAACTATATATATGGGACAATTCATTCACGCCCGAGATACATCGTAACCAGAAAAAAAAGTTTTAAAAGTTCAAAGACTTCTTTGCGCCCCGAGATCAATATAGTTTAGTCCTTTGCTCCTTAAACTAAAAAGTACTTCGTGACTTTCAAGATATGATAAAATTCTAACATTTCAAAACCTCAAAGAATATTATGAGATACAATTTCTAAATATAGAAATATTTTCTTTTTTCTTATTTACAAAATAATATTTATTCTTTTCAAAAAAATAACTATTTCAAATCTCATTTTTTTTAATTAAATTAAAATATGTAAATCAATTTAATTAGGAATAAAGGAAAAATTTTATTATTCCGCCTTTAATAAATCAATTTAATTTACTAGTAAATTTAATTTACTGTCTAAAGAATTCGACAAAAGTAAGAGATTTGATAGTCAAAAGTCAGTCACTGATTCTAAATCTAGTCACTGATTTTAAATAAATAATAAAAAAAATAAATAAATATTCACTACTTAATAATTTAATTTACTTTTAAATAATATCAAAAATTCAAAATAAGTAAATAAAACTTTTTGTTAGTAGTTCAACTAGTAAAATTTGACTAATTTTTGTTATTTATTTATATTAATAATTAGCTATTTTCTACTAACAATTGGTATATTTTATATAAAACAATAGGTAACTAATTATTAGTACAAAAAAACTAATTGTTAGTAAAAAATAATTAATTACTAACAGAAAATAAATCATTGTTAGCAAAAAAAATAACTAATTGTTAGTAAATATATAACAAAAATAATAATCAGATTTTACTAATTAAATTTCTAATTATTAATTTGTTAATTAGTAATTAGTAAATATTCAAGAATTTCTACTAGGTAATAATTTGTTATCCGCCACTATTAATTAGTCGTTTTACTAACTGCAGAAGCAAAATAATAGCAAACATCTTTACTAGCAATTAGTTATTTTCAACTAATTCAGATTTACTCTCTAAATTTGAATTAGTAAATTTTATTAACTATTCAGTCGAAATAACTATTTATTCTTATTGAATTTTTAATAACAAATTATCCATTGAATTAGTTAAATTTACTAATAAATTAGTAGATATTACTATTTATTAGTAAAATTTACTAATAAATTAGTAAATATTGCTATGTATTAGTAAAATTTACAAATTCAAAAGCAAAAATCAGTCACCAATACAAATTAGTAAATTTTTTTACTATATTATAATTAAGTAAAATACTTTAATTTTAAAATACAAAAAAAAATTTAAAGAAGTAAAAATGTTGACTATTTTGAATTAGTGATTATTTTCTTTTGAATTAGTAAATTTTATTAATTAATTAGTCGAAGTTACTATTTATTCTTATTGAATTTTCAATAACTAATTATCTATTGAATTAGTTAAATTTACTAATAAATTAGTAGATTTATCAGTAACTATTTATTAGTAAAATTTACTAATTTAAAAGCGAAAATGAGTCACCAATACAAATTAGTAAATATTTTTACTATAATATAATTAAGTAAAATATTTTAATTTTAAAATACATAAAAAATTGTTGACTATTTTGAATTAGAGACTATTTTCTTTTGAATTAATAAATTTTAATAATAATAATAAATAGTAATTTCTACTAATTTATTACTAAAATTTACTAATTCAAAAGCAAAAAGTCAGTCACTAATTAAAATTAGTAAACATTTTTAATAATAAATACCTAGTAATTTCTTCTTATTTATTAATAAAATTAAAATTTAATAATTCAAGAGTAAAAATTCAGTCGCTTATTGAAATTAATAAACTTTTTTATTACTTCTAATTTAGAGAGTAGAAAATAATAATTTAAAAAATGAATAAAAATGAATAAAAATTAATTACCATAGAGAAATAAATAAAAGATTGTAGGTATAAAATTAATTATATAACGTAATGATTTTGATTGATAAATAAATAATTAATTAGTATAAAAGTTATTATTAAAGTTATAATTATTATCATTTATTTCGCATTATTTTTCTTTGACATCACTAGATCATTTACTAATAATGAATATTGATTTTTAGCGCCCGAGTATTTATTTTACCTCTCTCTTTTATTTTTTTTTTTAGTATTGACGGTCATATTCTGCAGTTGATGTGAAACAAAATTAAGTTTCGAATTTCAATTAAGAAAATTGAAAAAATCCACTATTCTTATAAATAATGAACTTCTCAATTTCGTTCATTATTAAAAAAAAAAAAACAAAACCGAAGTATATAAATACTGATTTGTTTTAATTTCATTACATTAAATAAAAACAGACAACTAAATAAACACCATTATTTTGGATACCTATTATTTTATAGTGGAATAATATTCTATTTTAATGGAGTAAATTAAATTCAATGGAATATTAATTTGATGTTCTATTCAACAATTATTCTTTAATGTTAATATTTTAATTAAGTAAATTAGGTAGTAATAATATTAATAATAATGATAAAAATAATTAATTATCTAATTATCTAATTAAATAATTAAATTAATCAAGTTGAAAATTTCATAATGTATGTTAATAATATAATTTAGTTAACAATTTAATTAAATTATAATGATTATTCAAATGGAAAATATAAGCAATTTTTTACAATAACTATTTAATAATAAAATGAATTTATCATTTTATAAATTTTAACAGAGAAAATAATTAATTAATTAATAAAAGACTCTTCGTTCATTCTATACAATTGAGTAGAATATTGTTAACAATATAATTATTTAATTGGCTTTATCCAATTATAAGACTTTGTGAATTAAAAATAATGCGAAAAAAGAATGAAAATAATAAATGAAATAAAAATGCAAAAACAAAATAATGAAGAACAAAGTGAATAAATTTATATCATTTAAACTGCTTTTAATACTTTTTATACAAAAAAAAGTAGCTCCGAGTATTCTGTAAAAAAATTTTTCTCTACATACTAAAAAATATTATCAGATTTATATTCACTTTCTCTACAACAATGAAAAAATATTTAAAACAATAAAATTTTATGTAGAAAATAAAATAAATAGAATATTTTAATTAATTAAAAGAATTCTATGAAAAATTTTATATATAACAAAGAAAAGTATCTGATGTGTAAA